GCAGGAGCCCCGCCCGGGCGCCCCCCCTGCCGCTGTGACCCCGCGTCCGCGGGCGGGCGCCCTGAAGAGCTGCGGAAGAGGAGCGGGGTGGGCGAGGCCGCGTCGCCCCGGCGGGGCAGCGGTTGGAGGTGTGGAGAAAGCCCGTTAGCGGGGAGAGGATGAGAGCGCGGCGGCGCCTTCCCCTGAGGGGAAGGAGGCGTGACGCCACCGCAGCCCGTAATTGGCGGGGCGGCCTCCCCAGCCTGCTGAGGAAAGGCAGAGCAGCCCCCGGTGTTCTGGAACGTTGGCGCCCGGCTGGAGCCGCTGCCTCTGACAGCGCGCGGGGACGTTCGCAAACTGCGGAGGCGGACCCAAAACGCCTCTGGTCCCATCGGGGCAAGACTCACAGGCAGAAAAAGAGGGCGCCTCCAAGAACCCCTGAAGTGTTCAAAAAGTCCCTACTATTTAATTAGTCATTTTTGCATGATGAGGAGGTTCGCAGCCAAGTAACAAAAAAATCCTTTTTAGTCAAGCTTAATCAAAATGAGATTATCATTCCCGAGCTGAGCATGTGTTCCCGAGATTCCCGCTTTAATCACTGACACGTGCTTTGATGTTTTCACTTGATATGGGGGATCATTACTTTAATGGTCATTTAACACTGTTAGTAGTATCGGTGCCAGCTAGGAAAAAATGCAGAAAAACCTGCGGTTTGGGTGAAACACTGGGAAACATACATTGAAGCTGTTGCAAAATCTTTATTTGAGACAATCTGTGTCATAAAAATAAATTCTAAAATAGTCTCTGTGCTACAAACTGTCTCCGAAGGGACGAGTAAGAGGATATGTACATTATATTTAGGAATGGGAACATAGTATAGTGTCTTCAGAGTTAGCTGGCGGCCTCCTGCGAGCTTACATGGACTATTGATGTTGCTGTCACTGATTAAACCACGGGTGCCACACAGCTGAGACATGCTCCATATCAGCAACTTGAGCACCCACCAACAAACACAATCAATAGGTGCTTTCAACAGCTGCATACTAATGTTAACAATAACGTTGCTTTTATAACCTACAATGTGGTGTCTTCTGATCCTTAGGTACAGTGGAGTTGTACTCAGTTGTAGGTCCTAAGGTGAGCGACAACCGCACAGTTTCAGTTTCCCAGCTTTCTGCTCTTTCTGCAAGCTTGGTTTGGTTCTGGGGTCCTTCCAGAGCCTTAGGAATAGAGCAGAAAGAAGGGAGTCTATGAAGGCCAAGTGCAAGGTCCTGCACCTGGGTCAGGGTAACCCCCGGTATCAATACAGGCTGGGGGAAGAAAGGATCAAGAGCAGCCCTGCTGAGCGGGACTTGGGGATACTGATGGCTGAAAAGCTGGACAAGAGCCAGCAATGTGCACTGGCAGCCCAGAAGGCCAACCATACCCTGGGCTGCATCAGGAGAAGCGTGGCCAGCAGGTGGAGGGAGGTGATTCTGCCCCTCTGCTCTGCTCTGGTGAGACCTCACCTGGAGAACTGCGTCCAGCTCTGGAGCGACCTCACCTGGAGTGCTGTGTCCAGCTCTGGAGCCCTCAGCACAAGGAGGACATGGAACTGTTGGAGCGGGTCCAGAGGAGGGCTACAAAAATGATCCAAGGGCTGGAGCACCTCTCTTACGAGGCCAGGCTGAGAGAGTTGAGCTTGTTCAGCCTGGAGAAGAGAAGGATGCGGGAAGACCCGATTGCGGCCTTTCAGTACTTAAAGGGGGCCTATAGGAAAGATGGGGAAAATCTTTTTAGTAGGGCCAGCTGTGACAGGACAAGGGGTAATGGTTTTAAACCAAAACAGGGTAGGCTATTGTGGTAACAAATATTTCCATCACTGTGAATAAAACCGTGAAGCAAATGTGGATGCTGTACTGGTGGAATGACTCAAATGTAACGTGATACTGGTACACTCACACACGAAGTACACCATTTAGGAAGTAGCATACTTTCCTTAAGGAGTGTAGCAGCGAGCAGGCTGTTTGCAACAAAGACATCCACTTATTCATGGAAGGAAGCGCAGCAGTTAGAGATATTTTCTTCTTGGGGACTGAGTGGTGTGGACCTCCAGGCACCAAATGGATCTTCCCACAGCTCTCCTGAATGGAGAAGGAAGTGGACGTTACACTCCTATATACGCACAGCGCAAAGCCACATGGATTCAAAAAAACTGTTAAATGGAAACCCTCTTCTTTCACAAAGAAAGTGTCCTCTTCTGTCACCATTCCCACCCTGGAATGTTTTGCAAAAAATGCATTCACAAGGTGTTTGATCTGAACAACGTCAAAACCACCATTAAACACTTGATTATTGTTGCTTTTAAGGCATAACGGCTGATATAATATTTTGCATGCAACTCAGCTGTTGCTTTCAGGAGGAGTTAGAAGAACAGTTATTGATCTCTGGGGACCATGTTCAGTTTAATTCAAGCAGATCTTCATTAAAAAAAAAAAAAAAGACTTCTGTTAATCTCATGCCGTTTCCTATCTGTTTGACCTGCTGCTAGGTCTCCAAGGAAGTGCATTGGTGCACTGAAGGGCAGGGTAATTTCTAATTGCTCACCACATTTCTGAAAGTCTGTCCTGCAGGGCATTTTATCTTAAACTCCCCAAATCTCTTTGAAGAGATTCCCAGTTTTCCAACTGTCTCTCCCAGACAGGACCAGTTATGCACGTGGGCAGCAGCCAAGGCTGCCAGCAGGTTTCCTCCCCATTTTGCCTCTCGCAAAGACAACAGAGTGCAGCTGTTTGAGCAGTGCATGGTGCCAAAAGAGCTGCTCTGCTTCTTTCCCATAGCTCCCTGCTGCTGAGCCAGGTTTACATCAGGGCAGTAAGAACAGCAAGTAACCACTAGCTGTGGCTGACTACTGTGGCCTTCTTCTCCCAGAAAGGAAAGAGAAAGATCATCCCAGATTTCCTGAGCCTTCTGAAGACTTCCCCCGAAACCACAAAGATTCTCCCAGTAATTTTGTCTTTATTTTTAGAAAAGCAACAGTCTATTTCATCTTCACTGCCAAGCAGTTCATTTCCTAGGTACACCATGCACGGATCAACCCTACAACGACATGCAGTTTCACTTTGCAACCCTGAAGTGAATTGGTATCTACATGTATCAGACTCTGGTTGTTACAACACATGAGTATCAACAGAACAGACACTGCATACAAATGGTATTTTTCTGGTGACTTCTTAAAGAGATCTATCAAGCCTTTACACCTGTTCCATTTTCCATCCAGAAATCAGGTAATAAGGAAACTGGGCACGTACCCATAAACTGGCATGTCTGCCTGGTAGATATGGGTTGATTTTCCTCCAGGTATAGTTGAATTTTGGCAACTGCAGATTGGTTCAATTGAACAAGTAAAATCCTGTACAATGTTGAATAAATTAATATGTCCAGAGCTCTTTGCACCGAAGGGTCCGTCAGCATTCAACATTTATTATTAATAACTTATGAAAGATGAATGTCTGTTCTATATTTGCTGAAGGAGAAATCTTGGCTAGTCAGGAGAAACAGCATTGTCCAAAGCCTAAATAAAAAGTTCTTCTAGATTGATCGAAACCTATTCCTTCAGGTTAAATTTTATCTCCCAGCTGAGGATTATTACCTCAAAGCATGTCACACACTTACACTAGTCTTTTTTTTTTTTTTTTAATCTGTTTTGAAGAGGAGATGTGTCTGGAAAACCAATAAATTCCAATAACCCTTAATTGTTGGAAGAGCCCCAAAGGATGAAATTGGATCAAAGGCCTCCTGAGATTGTCCTAATGTTTGTGAAATGTTTTAAAATGTAAAGTGGTGTTATTACCTCAGGGTGAGCTCTCTAGAACTTCCAAATTTATGATGTACTTTGCAGGGCATTGATTAATATTGATTTACAAAGTCAGGGTTTTTCAGTGTTTTTCGCAGCCCAAGACGTATTTCAGTTCAGAGAGTATCTTGCACTCCTGGCTCTTCCATTCACAACTGTGTGGTTGAATCTTCCCATTCAGGGCTGCATAAGTCCTCTCAGATAACTGGAGCACTGGCTTGGGGAAAGAAGGTATATAGAGCAGAATTAATACGCTTCAGAATATTTAAACCAATTTAACTCTGGGAATAAGGAGTGAAACCATTATTAGATGGCTCTGCTTTAAATATAAATTCTCTTGATAGCACACTCATAATA